TAGTTTTGGGTAATTTTCTCAAGAGATGGCCAGCTCTTGAGAGCCAGGACTTGGCACAACTCTTATTTACATGTCAAGTACTCTTTATTTGAGCAGAGAGAGAGTAAATATCCCCAATTATGTCATGTTCTGTGATAGTCCCCAGGGTTGAAAACTAGCAGAATCCAGCTTCATTCCATTGCTGCCCACAGCTCTTCCCCCCAACTCCTCCCCTCCCAAGAGGACCTAGTGGAGAATTATAAATACTACACAGCGAACACAAATGTGATACATTTTTAGCAGTGCAGTAAACATTATAGAAGCCCACTGCCAAGTGGCTTCACCCAGCACAAAGAATCAGATCTAAAGGTGCAAAGACAGCAAGACCTCTAATGTGTTTCTAAAGCAAATCCATTATTATTGCAAATGAACAATAGAATGTGGATGTAAATCAGAGATGAAATTTTACAATCCATTAGATAGAACCAGTCTGGAGAACTTGGCCAGCCTGGCTAAGATTCTAAGATTTTTAACTTTTCCTTTAAATATAGTAAAAGGCAAGCTATATATTGCTCTGTGTGTGTCTGTGTGTGTGGTGTGTATGTGTGTATGTTTGTATATGTATGTATGTGTGTGTATGTGTGTGGTGTGTATGTGTGTGTGAGTGCGTGTATGTATGTGAGTGTGTGTGAGTGTGTCTGTATGTATGTGAGTGCATATATGTATGTGTGTATGTGAGTGTGTGTATGTATATGTGTGAATGTATGTGAGTGTATGTGAGTGTGTTTATGTGTGTGTCTGTATGTATGTGAGTGTGTGTATGTATATGTGTGTATGTGTGTGTGTAGGAATGAGTGTTTATATGTATGTGAGTGTGTGTTTGTGTGTGAGTGTGTGTATATGTGTGAATGTATATTATGGGATTGAGTGTGTGTATGTGTGAGTGTGTTTGTGTGTGTGTATGTATGTATGTATGTGAGTGTGTGTTTGTGTATAAGAGTGTGTATATGATGTGTGTGAGTGTGTATGTATGGGATTGGGTGTGTTTGTATGTGTGTGAGTGTATGTATGTGGTGTGTATGTGTCTATGTGTGTGTGTGTATGAATCTGAGTGTCTATGTACATATGTGTGTGTGTCTGTATGTATGTGTGTGTGTCTGTATGTATGTGTGTGTTTATGTGAGTGTGTATGTATGTGAGTGTGCGTATGGGAGTGAGTGTATGTATGTATGAGTTTTTGTGTGTGTGTGTGAGTGTATGAGAGTGTACTATATGGTGTGTGTGTGTCTGTATATGTATGAGTGTGTGTGTATTATGTATGTGTGCGTCTTTATGTATGTGTGTGTGTTTGTGTGAGTGTATGTATGTATGTGAGTGTGTGTGGTGTGTATTATGTGAGTGTGGGTGTTCGTGTATGGGGGTGTGTGCATGTATGTGTGTTTGTGTATGTATGTGTATGTGAGGTGTGAGTATGTATGTGTGTTTGAGAGTGCATATGTGTGTGTGTGTGTGTGTGTGTGTGTGTGTGTGTTTAAGTCTGATAATTCACTGCTCTATATATAGCGGAAAAGGAATTGTGGGATGCCGAGCATGCTACTGTTACTGTCAGTCATTAAGGCTGATTTTGCTATATAGATTGGGTAGCTGCCTCCAAGAGCTAAGACTATTTTTATAAACAGGAAATGCATATATGTCTGCATCCTTTGTTTTTACGATAGAAATGCACAGTTCTTTATGCCATGGGAATTGTTACAGAATCTGAATTCTTCCTTAAAATAACAAGTATAAATGTCTTAGAGACTAATAACCGGTGTTTTAGTTTCTGCTCATCCAGTTACTTGATTTGAAAACAAGTTACTAGACCATAAGCAGCTTTGGTTTCTTCCTGTGTAGGATGACTGTTAAGGGTTAAGGACTCGCTGAATGGATGCTTGCAAGGCATTTATTTAGGAGTTAACTGGCACACATCTGCCAACCCTTCAGTGTGGTTCTTCTTCTAGATCTTTAGCTACTGAATGAAAAGAGAATAAAAAGAAACCACCAGATGGAAAGACTAAGTATAAGCGTTATTTATGATCCCACCACTTTATACAAGGTAACACACTCAGGCTTTCCAGAAATAGTCCAATCGATGTCAGTGTCTAAATGCCCCAGAGCTGGGTGGGATCCCCAGGAGTCCGTACTGGAACTCATGCCATAACCACACTGCAGTTGAACCTCACACAACCTCACTCCTGGTTGGTTGTCAGAACTGCGGAAGTGTACAATGTGGATCTGTTAACTCTTAGTGTTTAGTTGATGCAGTGGGAACCATTAACCCTTCTTAATATTTATTTAGTGAAACGAGGGCCATTAACCCCTCATAGTATTGAATTAATGGTGTTGGAAACAAAAATCTGTCAAAAGAAATAATTTATTATTTTATTGAAACCTTTTAGGTGTCCCCACTCTGTTGGCTGGTGTTGTAATTAGCCGGCTGCTAATGTATAGGTACAAAAGTAATGTTCATTACACTGTTTTCTTTTTCCAGTATTTGCTATCAGTAAGGATAACGTTCTGTGAAACTCTGTAGAGACCACATATGTGCCGCTGCCGCCGTAAAAGAAGGCAGCATGTGTGCACATTCGTATCTGTGGTGTTCTTTTCTTGAAGTTGGAGGGGCCAGAACTGTCTTCTTTGGGTTGTTACTGATAACATGGAAGTCTAGGTGTTGTATTTGTTAAAATATTTTTGATGGCAGTACACCTAGATTAAATTATCCAGTTCAGCTGATTTGAGTCAGAAACGTCCAAGGTAATAACAAGAAAATGTTCGATTTTAACAGAGATTGTTACTTTTTTGACTTCTGGAGAGGACCATGTTCAAGAAAGAGTGAGTATATGGAAAAGAAGCAGTACCTGGTCTTGTATTCGAGGGTGCTGTCAGTTTCTAAGAGCACTGGTGCTTTTCTGAAATTCTAGTGTTTTCTCAACACTGAGCAGTGTCACATTTCTTTTCACCTAGAATGATAAGGCATGAGCAGTATTTATTCACTTTCTCATATATATATATATATGAATAACATTTTAAAGCAGTCTGTGCATACACACACACAACACACACACATATATACATATACATATCAGATTCAGTCTTTGTTTAAATATGCAGAATACACCTGTCTAACCCCTGTTCCTGGAGTTTACAGATTTACATACCCCTAGACCTATCAGAGTTTATATAGACGTACATACGTATGTATGTATGTAACATACTAACCTGCATACCAGGTAGTGGGACTGGTGTTACATGTTTGGCCATCTAGTCTAGAATCCATAGTATACCATTTTCATTCCTTCAGCCTGTTCTGGAAAAGGATTTAACATATAACATAACATATGTCTACTGTTAAAATCCATAGTTTCATTTACCCCTCTGAGGATAGCAGAGCACGGCTGTATGTGTTCATGTGCATTGTATGGAAAGCCTAGGGCAAACAAACCACAGTGCCACTCCACCTTTCACACGCACAAGGGCTACTCTGTGCTCAACTTACACACACACACACACACACACACACACACATTTACCCTGTGCTCAGCTTACACACACACTCAGGCAACTCTGTGGGAAGTAGACACTGAGCAGTAGACACTGTGCCCTTTGACAATCTGCAGTAGTTGCTATTGAATTTGTTCCTTGTTTTGCTTCTTCCGCCTTTAAAATGAGTAAGCTGTGAATAGTAAAGAAGTGGAGGGGATCTTTCTGATGGCTCTCACTCTCATATGTATGATTTACATCACTGGGCAAAACTAAATGGTACTTGTGTGCTATTAACACACAGTGATTGAAATAAGCGCAGCCGTGTTTGCTTGTGTTTGATGCCTTACATACCTGCTTTCACTGCTGCGTATTGTTTCTAACTGAGGGGAATATAGCGGCAATGTCGCTGTAGTCTGCTGAGTGTGGTTTTGTTAGGGTTGTTTATTCTGCAGTAGTAATTCTGTACTTTACCCACTTGGATTAAAAATGAATAACTGTTCAGTGTTCTGTGCTATGACATCGTTCTGTCCTAGGAATTGTGACACCGCTCATTTATTCATTGTCACTGGTTTGAGCATTTGCTCTTCTGGTCTAGGAACTGAAAAGAAAAAAGAAACATGGCTGACAAATACTCTCTTCTAGCACCTTTTAGTGAGGTGAGGATGTTAGGCAATGGTCCCCAAACATGGAACTGTAGTGTAATACTCAAAAAGGAAAGTTGTTAGTTACAATGTTGCGTTTTCTCCACAGTCAACATGAAAGAATTTGGCTTTCCCTTCCTTTTACTCAGCTAGCTTCAAGGTAGAACTGAGGATGTAGCTTAGAGGTTGAGTGTTTGCCCTGCAAGTACAGGGCCCTGGGGACAAGCAACAGTGTTGGGACAGTGATATTTGACAGAGAATAATGAATAATAAGAATAAAAGTGTCTTTCACAACATGAATACCTAAGGGGACTCCATTTGCTGTAATTCAAGGGAGCAGACACCTTAGTGCTTTTCCCAAGTCTCAGTGGCATCTGGCAAGTCGCTTGTGTGCTTCTGTGGCAGGAGGTGTACAAATCAGTGGCTTCCAGAATGAGAGATAATTGTCCCTTCTCTTACAACCATTAAAACAAGAAAAGGTTGAAAGATACACAAGACAATGAGAGGCCTTTGTTAAAGCAGAGCGCTTGTAGAACTCGCAGGGTGACAGTGGCTGATGGACTCTCAACAGGGTGACTCTAAGTCACCATCTTCTCTACAGTCACACTCCAGTTTCTGCTGACCGGTAGCTGATCGCTCCTTCTGGTGTTGATCAGCTCTCTGTAGCTGTGAGATCTCTATAGTGCACCGTATTGTAATTCCCAAACTGTTTTGCCTCACTCTTTTTGGGGGGCATTATTATAAAAAATTTAGTTTCTGATAATTGAAAGTCATTTTGTACAGTCTTCTCTTAAGAATGTGAAAATTTTCTATGAGTTTTACCTTGGAAATTAGTTTATTTATTATGTTTGATTTTAGGAAATGGTGCTCTTGCAGAACTTTCTGAAAACGTGCCTATTTCAGGAGTGTCGACTGGTAAGTCATCTTTTGTAATGTTTAAATTTCATGCATGACTTCTATGGTAAATATTGAAAACCCCCTGGTAGCTTACGAAGTGATATTTGGCTATAAAAATTATTGCTCCTTTCGCCACATGTAATACGGAGGGAAGGAACTGGAACATGGGAGAAATTCTCATAAGATAAAGTGATATTGCATGCCTGAGGGTTGATTATACTTTTCCAAACAGACTGTGTAATTATTTTCATGTGGAAGATAAACCAAGAGAAAAGTCAGCTCAAGTAGAATTAGGTATTTTTCTCTCCATGCAAACTTGTGTAAAATGAAATTAATTTGGAATGTTATCTCTAGAATTTACAGCCTTAGAAATGAAGCGTCTTGTTAGATGTTTTAGATTCGAAGGATACTCCACGAAGACCTGCCTCCTTAAGGGCACCCTTGGGTCTGTGGAACTCAGAAGTCAGTGATAGAAGCAGGGTCTTCATCCACCTTAGCTACAGCTTGGTGACCAAAGGCCATGACTACACAGCTGGCGCTTGTGGATGGCTTCCAGTTGGTAACTATATTTGCCCCATTAACTGTAGTTACCAGCATATCAGAAACAGTTTATTTTTTTCAGTGTATGGAAGTGGTTTCTCACTACTAATAATTAGCAGTAGTTCTTCACTTCCCTGTATTATTGATAAGATTTAGGTAGTTAAAAGTGACACAGCAGTATTTGTCTACCTAGTTTTTATTATAAATTTGATGTTGGTTTTGTGATTCTGACTTTCATTCAGGAAGTTAGTGGACTTGCCATCTTCTCTGGCTAGCACTGAGCGCACAAACACTCCTGGTCTCCCCCAAATCAAAGGCTCTCTTCATCCTTTCCCTTTGTGTTCTCACTTTTCCATAGGCTTTTAGTGTCCATCGATTTTACATCTCAAATAGAAACAAAAATGTTTTATGCTATTTATTATCGTATGAGTGGGACACCCGTGAGGCAGTCAGGGACTGGCTGGTGGGAGCCGGTTCCCTTCCACATGGGCTGCAGGTAGGAACCTTCTCACTGGCTCAGTGAAAGCCACGTTTTAAACTTGGCCTTGTCCCCTCCCCCATTTTAATAGCAAATAAGAACTGTGATTGCAGTCCCAACTCACCAGTGTTTTCAGAACTTATCTCAGGTTGCCTTTCAAATGTTGGTTCTTTGAGCCTGCTGCAGCAGGTTAAGCTAAGCAGGTTGGTTTCCTCTGAGTTCTAGGAGCTGGAAGTCCAAAGTTAGGTGCTTGCAGAGTTGATTCCTGGTGTAGTCCCTCCTGCTGTTCCAGTGGAGCATCACCCTGTGGGCTCACTGACTCTTCTGGAATACCTCGAGGGAAAGACGGGGTCTCTATTCCTTCACAGGTGTTATAGTTCTTATTATAGGACGCTTACAGTACTGGAGTGACCTCGCTGCTCTGTTCCGATGGAAATCATGAACACAAACTACATGTAACTCCTTTTGTGTCAGTAACTCCAAGCTTTGGTAATCGGGACCCTCAACTCTTACTTACTATTGCAAGCCCTTGGTGGTGTTCTGTGACAGGCTTTTCCTGGGTAGGCGCAACACACAGAGTTTACCCAAGTCACCCCAGAGAGGGAGCCCACAACAGACCAAAGTCCAACTTGGTGAGCCATTGAGTTTTATTGGGGTTACTTACAGGGATATGAGTGAAGGGTTATTCACAGGAGCAGAAATGACTCTAAACAGCTGCATCACCAAAGCCCACCCCAGTGTAAGTGACAGTTGACAAGATCCAGGATCCTGGAGGACACTGGGCAGCCTCCAGGTAGCTCAGCCGGTTGGAGAGTTTCCTTCCCAGGTGCCTCAGTTGGTCTAAACCTCTTCCAAGCAGCTGGACTGTTCTGTCTCTCTGAGGCAGCTAATCTGCACTCAGTCTTCCTTGCGGATTGGCTGGTCTGAGCGGTTTCTTTCTTGTCTTAGAGCGCCCCTCAGTCACCTCTATTATTTACTCTTGGGAGGGAGGGCCCTAGTAATTCTGGTCAATTTCCAGAACTTCCTGAAGCTATTTTGAGCTGTTCACCTTCTATCTTAAAGAGCCTACCACCAGGATGGAATGTTGTAACAAGGGAGGAAACCGCTAGATGACAGATAGTCCCAGAACTCCTCTAGTTGCCTAGGCCTGGGCTCTCCTCTGTGGTCTTAACTCTGCACTCTGTCCCATTACTGCCTGGAGTCTTGGGCTACTGCTTCTGGTTGTTTCTGTGGCTGGCAGCCATGGGAGTTGGTTCTTTGTAAAGCCTGCTCACCCTGCTTTCCCTTGATGAAGAGCACAGACAGATAATAAAACTGGAGCAGAGCACAGGACAGAGACCCTGGAGACAGTGAAAGCATGCTGCTATGTCACCAGATACACACACAGAGCTGTTGTGAATGGGGGTAGCGCTCCAGGTAGACCTGCTGTGAGGAGGTCAGAGGTTGCTCGTAAGGCCATCTGAAGTAGCTATAGGCAGGATCATTTAAGGGTCTGTCATTGGAGCTGTCACAGCCAAGTCTTCCTAAGCAAAGCAGTGGCCGTGAGAACTGCAGGGGTCCCTGAGGCCACAGGCTGTCCCCTTAGGGGTTAGTGGTTGGTCTGAAGTCCCCATCTGTCATTCTGCTGGCCCAACTTACTGTGAACTGTGGGGAGGTTATCAGAAGAACACAAAGAACCAGGGAGGAAGCAGCTGCTGTGGCCCTGGTGAAAATGGCAGAGCCAGTGATACAGTGTGGTTGCTTGCCATCCTAATGAACCTTCAGGAGCAAAAGCAAGTGTCACCTACAGCCCCACTGGACTAGGGAACCATGGAGACAACCGCGCTTGTTCTCAGGAGGCCTTTGCCATGTCTAGCTTGGGCCACTTGCCTGGTTAGAACTTTTTCAAAGTTAACCCCTAGCCTACCCTTAGTGGCCTGTCTCAGGTTCCTCTTTTAAGACTGTCTGTAGCACACTGGCATGAATGCTTCAGTGGGTAAATGCCCTGACCACCCAGTTCAGTCCCCAGATCCCACATGGTGGAGGTGGGACCCAGATCCCTGTGTCCTCCCTCTGAGCCCCACACGGACTCTTTGGCTCATGTGCCCCTCCCCGTACACAAAATGAATAAATGTGAAAAAAAAGTGTTTACAGTGATAGTGTCCTCAAATATTGGGAACGGGTTCCAGCATATGAAGATGAATTTAGTTCATGACAAGAAGTTTGAAGAATTAGAGTCTTCTGAATGGAGGAATGGTTGGGGCGTGCAGAGGGGCGATGGGGTTGGGCTGGAAGGAGAGGAAGGAGGGGAAACAGCAGATGGGTTGTAAAAATTAATAAATAAGATACATATTTTAAAAATGAATTGGGCCTTGTTTTGTTAGCAGTTCTGAGGGTTAGGCCAGGGCCTGGAGCATGGCAGGTGACAGCTCTTCCTCCCACTGAGCTCCACCTCTACCTCTGCCACTGCTGCTGTTGGGGGAGGGGCAGATGGGGCAGTTAAGAGAGGGGCTCTGCAGCCCACACTTCTTCCAACTAGCTGTAGCTAGGTGAGTAATCCCCCTGCCTCCACCTTCCAGATGCTGAGATTATGAGGTTATTGATGTGTGCTGTCCACAGAAAGAGTCTTTCAGCGTAGCCCCTGCCTTGTGAGGCTGGCATCAGAATCACACGACGCCATGGCCACAAAGAGTCCATGCGTTTGATCACTCCCAGAATTTACTATGTTAGAAATTAAAGCTGAGAAATTGCCTTAGCACATATATATACAATTTAATAAGCAAGAATGAGTTTTGTTGCAAGCTTGTGTCTATAGCATAGTTTTATTAAAATATATTTTTCAAGTCAAAAATGTCAATAGTATTATTGTTCTACAATATTGTAAAGCCTTTATTGATGAATTTAAGGTGTCTGGATTCTCAACATCTGTTTCTGCATTCAGTCTTTTGCAATTCTTTATTTGACACAAGGAAATAATACCATTGGTATGTAACTAAAAATGTATAGCAGTGTTTTAACAATCTTCTTCAGACAATTGTGACTGTCCTTTGTTACAAAAATCCAGCAAGTGGTAGTTTCTAAAAGGTGAGGTGCAGTTGCATCGGAATCCATGTGTGAGCTGTTTTGTTCTCTGTGACCCTGCGGTGTGGCTGGCTTTGGCCTCTGAGAGTATTTTCATTACCGTGTATGATTTTATAGTATGTCAATCACCTAATTCTCTTTGCTGAGTTGTACAGATTAATATGGAGTGTGAAAAGCTAGAGAAATTTGGACATATCCAATGTCAAATTGTAAATCTAATATCAATGCATCAAGACTGAATTATACTTCTTATTTTTGTCTGTTTGCTTGAGGTTAGGTTGCTGGACTCTTATTTACTATTGCCTTTGCTCTCAGTAAACTCCTTTTGAAGAAACATCAACAGAAATTCACACTTTTAAAGGAGTAAAATGTGTTCTCCATAAGCCTTCCCCCACTTAGGAATTTCAGACACGTGTAGACATACTTATTGTTTGCTGCAGCTGCCATATCAAAACACCACAGACTAAACAACATAATGTGTTTTCTCGTGAGCCTGGAGGCTAAAAGCCCACAATCAAGATGTGGCATAAATGGTTTCTTCTGTGTTCTCTCGGTGGCTTATAGATGCCATCTTACTGTATCCTGCCTTGGAATCTGTTCTGATGACTTCTGAAGTTACATCACAATATCCCACCCGGGTGACCTCATTTTTACTTAATTACCTCATCAAAGAGTCTCCCTGTAATTATAGTGAAACTCTGCTGAAGTACTGGTATTAGGACTTTAATAAACGAATTTTGAGGACAATACAACTCATCCCTTAACAATGTATATTTTAATTGTGTGGATTTATACATCAATAATATACTCCATTCCAGAAAACAGCAAAACCATATAATGCCTTATAAAAACCATCCTTCTATGAAGTCCAGCATATAAGACCTATCCCTATTACACATTAAAGAGAATAAATAAGTGGATGTTTTCTCAAAGCCTTTGG